GTGCCGGGGCTCGAGTGGAGCGCAGCACGGGCCAGGAAGAGGCCGACTATGAAAATCTCGCGAGGCAGCAGAGGGGGGTAGGCTTTCGGCCACCAGAGGGCGACGCGCACGAGGGGCCGGAAGGGGCCCATCAGTGCGGGCCTCGGCGACCGCGACCTGGAAGAGGGCAAGGCGGCGCCCCGAGCCCCGGCGCGTGAGGCGGGCGGGCCGTGGATGGGGAATGGCGGGCGGGGCCATGCCGAGCTCGAGCCCTGGGTGCCTTTCCCAGGCGGAAGCCCAGATATACGCTACGGCTGGTGCGAATACTGCGGCACGCAGGGCGAGGAGCGAGATGCGGGATGCGCGGCCGCACCTTCCCCATTTCGGCCGCCAGGGACCGGGCCGCAGCCGCGGCGAGAGCGGCAGCCTCATCAGGAGCAGCGTCTTCGTCTGGGCCAGACCTGGCACCCCCCCCGCCTGCCAAGGCGGTGCCCAGCAGCCGCGTGGGCTGAGGCCGGGCCCCAGCGGAGGTGATCATGCCAACGGGCCTGCCTAAGGCGCCCCCCTTCGCCCTGACCAGGCTCTTCGGTGCAACTGCGAGCTTCGACGAAGGGCGGCGCGGCTTCTCGATCGTGGCCTACTTCGACATGGAGTCGGACGGCGAGGATCGGGACGTCGTCGACTCCCAGCAGCCTGGGCAGCCCCGCGTCGGGGAGGAGGCACATGAGACCCCAGCACAGCGAAGGGGGGTAAACCACGAGGAGGCAGGCTGCTGCCACCAGGAGGGATGCAGACGGCTTCTGCCGGACCTCAGCTTCCAGGTCTTCTACTGCTGCAGGACGTGCTGGTATGCGCACGGGCGGAATCACGGCCTGGCGTGTAACTCGAGGGGGGGCGCGCGCGCCGCCGAGTTCGCCCGCGCTCGGAGCGAGGAGGATCCCTGTGCTTGGGCTGACTCAACGGATCCCCACTCCGAGGGGGGAGAAATTGGGAGACGAGCGGGGGCCGTCGAGGACGATGAGAGCTGGGGCAAGTGGACGGCGGAAGGCAAGTCGGCTCTCATGCCCCGAGCGACATCGGCGCCAGGGCCCGCAGTGGCGGCGCCCACGGCTGGGGCAGCCTCGTCGGCCGCGCGCGCAGGAGAAGGAGGGCCCGCGCCGTGCCTCCGCCCGGGTTGCCCCTACGCCGCGCACAGTGATCCAAATCAGCTCTTGAAGCCGGGCTACTGTTGCGACAAGTGCGGGGGCTGGCGAAGGCGCCCCTGTCTGGCCCTCCGTCTGGTAGCGTCGGCTGGCGCGGAGCCGCTTTCCAGCAGGGCGGGGCGGACTATGGCGATTCGTCAGGCAGCGGAAGGCCTTCGACCGAGTGCCCGCCGCCGTCTCCTACCAAGGGGAGAAGGAGGAAGCGTGCAGAGGCGGGCCCGGCGAAAGCGGGGGCAGGAGCAGCCAGGAGGGCAGCCCACAAGAACAAGGGGCGCGCGGTGTTGGAGGGTCCGCAGGTCCGCCTGTGGGTGAGGATGTTGCCGCAGGAGGTCAAGGAGGAGCCGCAGTCGGAATGGGAAGGCATCGAGCGCCCTGGCCAGGCAGCGCTCGGCCGCAAGTACAGGGACATGGTGGAGCGGGTCACCCGTCGGGGTGAAGAAGGCGCGGTTGCAGCCGCGGCGCCGCGCGGGCCCCGGCGCGGCGCCGGCATGCGCGAGGAGGAACAGCGGAGGTCGAGGTCTCCTGAGAGGGGCAGGCGCAGAACCGCCGCCAGGAAGGAGGCCAGCTCCGCTTCGGCACAGCCCACCGGGGTGCGGGGAACCGCCCCGGTGAAGAGGGGGCCGCTTCCCATGCCAGGGCCCCGGAGGGCCGTCGAGCTCCGCAGCCAGCCGCGAGGAGAGTCTCCCACGTTCAAGGGTGGAGGAGGGGGCAGAGGGCCGTCGCCAGGCTCGACGGACCTCAGGCCATGAGACGGCGCCAAGACAGCGAAGATCCAGGCAGACAACGAAGCCCGTATGGCGGCGCTGCGGGCGCGGGCCATCAGGGTCAAACGCGACGATGCCGAGGAGGCCGAGGAAGCCCGCAGGCAGAAGCGAGGCGCGGGATGGCCGAGCACCTCGAGGAGCTGCGCCAGCCTGACGACCGCCGCCTTCGAGAGAGGCGCCAGAGTGAGCCAGACTTGGAAGGCATCGACCCAGAGGCGGTGGCCCGGTACCTGCGGGATGCCCGAGGCACGGGCGGTGCCGGCCATAGCCAGGAGGGGCTCAGGCTTCACCTAGAGCCATTCGCGCGAGGAGCTGAGCGAGGCCAGGGTTCCGACGGCAGCGGGAGGCGCGCCAGGCGCGAGGAGGACAGCCGCAGGAGCGGATGCCTAGAGCAGGATGTGGCCAGAAAGCAGCTGGACGCGATGGTTCGGGCGTGGGGATATCCCGATCAGAGGGGCGGGTGGCTCGACTGGGCTCTGGCCGCGCGGTGCTCAGGAGGGGCCGAGAACCGGAGGGCGGGCGCCAACGGTCAGAGGGAGAGAAGACGCGGAGGCAAGAGCGTGGATCCGGTCGAGAACAGGCCGCCCAACGTGCTGGGGCCCGAAGCGGTCAGGGAGAAAGCGAAGCTGGACGATCTGACGCTGACGGACCTCAAGACGCGTGAGGACTGGGAGAAAGCCAAGTTGGAGCTCATCTTGGACAAGCTGGCCAGCTCCACCATCAAGTCCTACAGCCTAGGCTGGAGGTGGTGGTCACTGTTCTGCCGGGCAAGGGGTGTCAGCCCACTCAGGGAGGTCGCGCCCGCGAGCCGCAGGGACGAGGAGGAGCTAATGCTGGAGTTTGTCGCGCACCTGTCGAGACGAGGGTGCAAGAAAGCGGGCGCCATCAAGCAGTGCCTGAGTGCAGTGCGGGCCCAGCACCTTGCCCTCGGTCTGGGCGATCTCACGGCGGGCGCGGGCAGGCTCTGGATGGCGATCGACGTGCTAAGGAGGCGAGTCGGCGACGCCAAGCGGAAAAAGCCAGTCGCGTCCAGGATGATGAGGTGGATCCAGGAGAAGCTGCAGCCGGAAAGGTCGCGCAAGGGCGCAGCCCTATGGGCTGCGGTCGCCACGGGCTATTTCTTCTTGCAGAGGGCCAGCGAGTACGTGTCGGGCGACCAGAACGGCTGCACCGGGGGCACGGGCCTTTACTATGGGGCGTGGACGTCACGCCGAAGTCAGCGGGCGAGCCGACAAGGAGCTGGCCTGAGGCGAACGAGGTCGTCATCAAAATACGGGCCAGCAAGACGGACCAGTGCCATCGAGGAGAATGGCGCAACCATTTCAGGGTCGAAGCAGCGCCAGGCACGGCGGACGATGAGCACATTTGCGTAGTGGAGGCGCTGACGATCTACGAGGGGTGGGCACCTGCAGGTTCTCCGGAGCGCGGTCGTGCGACCCGCTCTTCGCCTGCGACGGCGGGCGGCTCGTCGCGAGGGTCGATGTCCAGCGCGTGGTGATGCAGTCAGCCGTGTCGGAGGGGGTCGACCCGAGTGACCTGGGCTCCCGCAGCTTGAGGATTGGCCGGGCATCAGCGCTCTACGCGGCCTTCAAAGACACGGCGCTGGTGCAGCGCTGGGGGCGGTGGAACAGCGACGCCTTCCAGGGCTACCTGTGGGGGGCGAGGGGCATGGCGCAGGGCGTGGCCAGCAGCATGGCGGCCGCGGACCTGACCATGGTGTGGGGGGCGCATGAGGCGGCCGCGTTGGCCTGGGGCTCAGCGCGCAGGGCAGCCGCGGCCGAGAGGTCCGGGCCTGAGGCGCAGGGGGGGCCTCAACGGCTGGCAGTGCGGCAGCCGAAGAACGCGCGGATGAGGTACCAAGTGTGCTGGGTAGTGGGGGCCAGGACCCCCCTCCAGTCCGGACAGGAGCCCTCGAGGTGGGCCCCGTGGCTCGGGACACGCACGGCGTAGAGAGCACATGAGGGGGTTCGGCGGCGAGACGCGCCGCGGAGCTGGCACCCTCCAGCGGGAGGGCGCCTCAGGCCGTAAGGAAAGTGTCCGAGGAGCGCGAGGGCGCGTGAGGGGGATGAGGGGGGGCAGCCTGAAGGGCGTGGGTCCAGCCGGGCCCGGCCGCGCCCGATCCGCCCAGGCTTAGGTGGCGGAGAGAGGAGTGGAAACGTAGACGTTCGAGAGAACAGCGGGTTTCCTCGTTCTGCGCAGCCCCCCTCTCCTGCTTGTGCTCCTCCTCCGTCGCACTTGGCTTGAGGCCGATCTAGGAGCGGCCCTAGCATCCTTTTTGGAGGTCCCGCCCACCCACGCCATAATACAGCGGTGGGTGGGGCCTCCCGCCGAGTTTTCTCGGCTTGCGCTTGCCGCGTCGCGGTCGGCGCACGCTCGGCACCCACCTCACCGTGAGGGGGTATTCTCCCCCCCCCTGGTGCTACAGTGTACCAGGCGGGGTTCGGCGGCGAGACGCGCCGCGGAGCTCGCGCCCTCCAGCGGGAGGGCGCCTCAGGCCGCGCGGAAAAGAGTCCGAGGAACGCGAGGGCGCGTGAGGAGGGTGAGGGGGGGCGGCCTGAGGGGCGCGGGCTCAGCCGCGCCCGATCCGCCCGGGCTTAGGAGGCGGAGAGAGGAGAGGAAACTGGTAATGATGCTGACGATGGTGAAGATGATGATGATGATGATGCTGCTGATGATGATGATGATGTTAATGATAATGGTGATGATGATGCTGATGATGATGATGATGATGACGGTGACGATGATGATGATGATGATGAGGAGGAGGAGGATGATGATGATGAGGAGGAGGAGGATAAGTACAGTGAGCATTCAAATCTGAATTCAGTGATTCTCCTTGGTCCGATTGTCCCACCTTCCTTCTCGCCAGTGTGGACTGGATGATTGAATCCGCGTCCTTCAGCTCAGGCGGTGAGGTGTTGCTCGAGGACACCTCTGCGAGAGGAGGGGGTGAAGCTTGGTGCTCCCCTCGAACTTACTTGTGTATTCCCCGTATCCTGCCACTGTTCCTACTGCTGCTTTGCCGCCCATCATTTGCCTTACGTGTCTTTTCCGCAGCCTTTGAGGTCCAGGGTTGAAGCGTGCATACGTGCGCTCAGCTCCTACCTGTTGTGTTGGAAAGCCCTCTCAACACAATCCTTCATCTGTCACCAGCTTACATAATAAAACGTCCGCTTGTCCGTAAACCCACGGGCAGTCAACGAAGTATGGCACTCTCGCAGGTCGTCGATTTCCTCCAGAGCCGCACCGCTCTCTGGTCCGGCCTCGCTGGGCTGATCGTGGCCTTGGTCACCCCGCTCGACACCGTCTTCAACCTCCCCGCGTCTTTCGAGGAGGTCGTCTTCATACTGCTTCTTTTGCCGATCGCCTTCGCGCCGAGAAGGATCTTCGGGAAGCCGAGGAAGAGTTCGAGGTCCAAGGCGCACACCGCTGCCGAGGCAGAGCTCAGGCCGGAGGAGGCCGCGCCGCCCGCGCCGCCTGGCAACCTCACCGACCTGGGCGCCAAGCTGCTCCGCGCGGCCAAGGCGGGCGACCTCGGACTCGTGGAGGCGCTGGAGCAGCGGCTGCGGGAGACCGGCGAGCCTCCAAGCGCGTTCTGCGTCGGGGCCGCGATGCACGCGTACGCCAAGGCCGGAGACCTGCCCCGCGTGGAGCGGTGGCTCCAGAAGCTGCCGGCGGAGGGGCCTGAGCGGCCAAACGTCGTCTGCCTGAATATCGTCATCAGCGCGTGGGCCAAGGTAGGCAACATCGAACGCGCCGAGGCGTGTCTGCAGGAGATGCGCCGGTTCGGCGTCGACGCAGACGTGCTGAGCTTCAACACGCTGATCGACGCGTGCGCGCGGCTCGGAGATGCAGGCCGCGCGGAGCATTGGCTGCGGAAGATGAGCGAGGAGTAGATCGGAGGCTCAAAGATGGGGTCCTAAGGGATAGGTCCGAAGGATGGGAAGGGATCCGAGAGTGGATTTGCATTGTTCGAGGCACCTCGTCCTTAGGACCCCATCCCTCAGGACGCCATCTGTGAAACCACCGAGTAGCGGAAGACGAAACTCGGCGGCGCGCCTGGGGGGAAGTGAGAGGAGATGTTTTTTTTGTTTTTTTTTTTTGTTTTGTTACCCTCTGGGCCATAACGCCCGTTATGCCCCCTACCCTCCCTCCCCTTTCTCCCCCCCAGAACCTAACGCTCCCCCCCACTCAGTGCTTCCCTGGCACGGCTGCTGTGCGTCCGGCAGGGGGGGCGGGGGCGCGCTACGTTATGCCCCCTCCCGTGGCCCCCCCCCCCTTCCCCCCATAACGCCCGTTATGGCCGCGAATACAAAACATGCGCTCGAGGGGGCAGGCCTTCTCGCCTTCTCAGAAGGCGGCGGGGCTTCTCAAGAAACCCGTTGGCCTTCGGGGAAGTTTTCTGTGTCTTCGGAGGAGGTGTAGAGAACTTCTCAGAAGGCGGGAGGGATTCCGAGAAGCTCCGCGGCCTCTTGAGAAGGCATGCGCCCTCGCATTCCCCCCCGCCTCGCCGCCAAGAAGCGGCATTAACATTAAGTCGGGCGTGTCCCTCTACGGGGGAATATTCAAAAATAGTCAAAAATAGTCAGGTGACGATTTTCCTACGATTTTTCTGATATTTTTGGATATTTTTCGACTATCTTTTATTTTTCGTCCAACGTCCGCCTGTAGGAGGACACGCCCGACCTAAAACATGAACACAAACTTTCGGAGCTCCGCGCGGATTTCTTGGATCTGCGCTGGATCTTCTGGCGGTGCCTCCAGTGCTGTCCCTGCGCGCCAGGCAGGGGGTTCGGCGCAGATCCAAGAGTCAGCGCGGAGCTCCGAACGTGTAGGTGTATGCCGTTGTTCTTCTTCCGGAGGAGGGCCTGGAGCCGAACGTCATCTCCTACAGTTCCGTCATCCACGCTGCGGCCAAGGCGGGCGAGATGGAGCGTGCGGAGGCGTGGCTGAAGACGATGGAGCAGAGGGGCGTGTCCCCGAATGCTATTTGCTACAACGCAGTGATTCATGCCTGCGTCCGAACGGGCGACATGCGGCGCGCGTCCTGGTGGATCGGCCACATGGGGACGCGCGGTGTGCTGCCGACGGCCACAAGCTACAGCGTGCTGATGAGCCCCTGGGCCAAGAGCGGCGACCTCGCACAGCTGGAGGTCTTGAGGCGGCGGATGGTCGATGCTGGAGTGGAGCGGGACTTGGTCTGCTACATCATGTTGCTCCGCGCCTGCAACCGCATCGGCAACGCTCGGCAGGCTTCGGCGATCGACGTTCTGCCATGTCTTTTCTGCTGCCCCCCACGTCTGGGCCCCAGGCGGAGCATTGTATTGATAAGAGGTTCGGCCCCAGAGGCCAGATCTTGATCCATGTCACTCTGGCCCCTTGTCGGGCTTGGACGTGAGCAGGGGCACAGATAAAGCATCGATCGCTTGAGGCCCGCGAGTGGTTCGCCCTCATGTGCGAAGACGGCATCGAGCCCAACAGCGTGTGCTTCAACCTGCTCATCAACGTCCACGCGACGACTGGCACCGTTGAGGATGCAACCGACTGGTTCGGCA